CCCCCCCGGGGGGTGTAGTCAAGGTTATGGCGATAAATCCTGGGGCATCGTCACTTCTATTCGGAGTAAATTGGCTGGCCTCTTTCAGGCTGAAGGGAAGATAATTTGCTGTAGTATTTCAAATGGATTAGAAATGGATTTGAAGGGGAAGTTCATGCCTCCTATTACAGAGGCGAGAAAGAAGACCGTCTGAAGGCACAGCTCCCTCCCTGGCCTTCATTATCCACGCTTAATACCTTTCCTATTTCCCAGCGTTAATGAAATTTCCTGGCGGCGTGGGCCCACCGGACGCAGGGAGAAGCCTTTAGACCTGAGGCTGCTGTTGGAGAAAAGGAATTACCAGGCCCTGGGCGAGGGCAGGAGCGTCCCCAGGCCCTTGGCCCCGCTATTATCTCATGAATCTCACCCCCTCTCCTCAGCACAGCTCCTTCCCACAGGCTGTCCTCGCCATTAGGTAACCATTTGCTGAGGCTCTGACACCCAGGCAGCGAGAGGCTCCTGCGTGCGGGCGGCGGGTGCCCCCTCCCCCGTCCCGGCCCTCAGTCAGGGACAGCGGGTGAGGAAGGACACAGGTGGTCAGGGCACTGCAGGTTGGGCCTGTTTTCCAGGGCAGGTGGGCTTTCCCCGGGCCCTGGCCCGCTCCCCGCAGTTCTGTGGGTGCGCCCCTCCTCGGGGCGGCCTCATGACCCTGCAGGGACGCAGTTTCCCCGACCCCGCTGGCCGGGGCTCCGCTCTGGGCTGTGGGATGGGGGCTCAGGCACAGCTGCCCTGAGAACAGGGGCCACAGCTCCTGCGGAAGGTCAGAGCCCTCTGGGGGCCCCCCAGCGTTGGCGGGCCTGCAGGGAGGGGCTGGCGCCAGAGAAGACCCTCCCCTACCAGCCCTGCCCTCTCTCCTCACCCCTTGGCCTGGCCCGAGGTCTCAGGAGAGCCTGCAGGGCTGGCTGCCTCCCCCAGGGGGTGCCCACGCACCCCTGTTTACTCGCCTTTTGTGGGGCAGCTGGAGCGCACAGGCAGGGGCGGCCTGGGCCATCTCTCGGGCCCCTGGGTGGGGCTTGCCCCTCCATGGTCGGTGCTCGGGACTTGACTTTAATGAAGGGAAACTGGGTTAAGTGCTCCAGGCGGGCTGCCTCCCTGTGCCTCCGCCGGAGCTTGTCCTTACGCCGCAGATTCGTCCCGAGGGCCTGGGGCAAGAATCCCCCCAGCTTGCAGACGGAGAGGGGTGCAGGCTGCATGTGGGGGTGGCGGATGGCGGCCATGCCCAGGAGCAGGGCTACTGACCCAGCACCTCAGTTCTGGGTGCGCCTATGTGGGTGCCTGGGTGCGGCCCCACCGCACTCATCACATCCTTGTTTAGGGGCACCCTCCTGGCTCCGGGCGGCAGGAAAGGGCTTCCTGCTGCCCCACGTGGGGTTGGGGTCCATGTGCGAGTTGTGGGCCTCCACCTCACTGCTCCCTGCTGGGCCCGAGGCAGGCCTCTAGGGGAGAGGCAACGTGTCCACGAAGACAAGCAGGCTCCTTTGCCAGGGGGCAGGGGGCAGGGGGCGCAGTGGTCATAGCTGGCATGGAATGAAGCTCCATTCGCATAAATAAATTACTGTTGGGATTTGTCCTGAGGGGTGAGCCCCACGCCCTCTGGAGTCAGGAGGCTGGCTGGTCCCACCCTGGACGCCCCACCCCTCCTCCTGGTGGCAGCTGCTCAGGGGACAGCTGGGGGCAGGTCAGCCAGGATGCTGCAGGGCCACCGAGCCCAGCCCGGGAGCCTGTGGCCAATCCCACTGTGGGGGCCCTGGTGCCTGCAGGGCGTCTCTAAGTGAGGATGTCAGGCCGCCTCCCAGGGCCCAGGCCGTCCTGGCTCCGGGGTGTGCCTGTTGGAGGGGAGGCTTGTCCCTTCCCCGTGACCCTTCAGGGGCTCACAGAGCCTGGTTGGTGGGGTTGGGACACCCCTCCTGTGCTGTGGGGGGCAGGGCAACAGAGGCCTCCCGCCTGGGGTCTTGGAGCTCAGCTGACTGGCATCTCCCTGTGTCTGCAGGTCCCTGGTGCTAAATCGCCTGCGCCCTGCCCGCGGGGGTGGGAGAGTCCAGCTCGGCTCCCCCCGCTGGCGGGACAGAGGCTACCGCTGTATCGGAGGGGTGCTCTACCGGGTGACGGCCAACAAGCTCGCCAAGACTCCCGGCCGGCCCAGTGCTGAGGGGGCCTGCAGGCCCCTCCTGCGTACAGGTGAGGCTCCCTGAGGCCCCGCCCGCCTCACTCCCAGCCTTCACTCCCAAGATGCTCCTGGGCCCCCTTCCGAATGGGTGCTCCCTTCCGAGTGAGTACTCCCCAAATCCCAGCAGCATTCATCACTTCAACTCGCCCCGATGTTGGGTGAGGCGGGGAGCAGGCCGGGCACTGATGGGAGGCCCTGCAGCCTCTGTTCCCAGGGAAGGCCCCTCGGGCAGGCGAGGGCTCTCGCTGGGCTGAGTGGTCCCTGATTTCCCGTGTTTGCTCCTGGACAAAGACAATGGCCAGGTGTGGTGAACAGGGCTGGCGAGGGAGCACCTGGGGCCGCGGCCCTGGAATCACATTGGCACCGCCTCCCGGAAACAGTCCGAGCAGGAGGGGCTGCTTTGGGTTCGCTTACTGTACAGATTGACTCGGGGAATGTTTTGGTTTCGGTCCACTTTTACCCTCTTCCCTTTCTGTCAG